CAATGTCCCCTGAAACAAACAGAGAAGGCGATTCTCCTTTGCAGTGACATAGACTGCAAGAAAAACTAATAGGGTTTTCTAACCCTTGTCACTCAATGCAAAAGTTGTTTAGCTTTAGATGCACATTTTACAGATGTATTTCTTTAATTTTAGAACATTATGAATTAGAAATACAATTATAAGTTTAAGGACAATTTTCATCATGTTTGATGTAATTTTTTTTTCTTTTGAGGGTAGGAACAGTACATACTGTAACAGTAACATACCTTCTCTATACAATAAGTAGCTTGCAGAAGTTTATAGCACAGGTATATAATAGTATATCACAGGACACTTTGTTCATGTCCTTATGCAGTAGGCTAAATATTGATTTTCACTTGTTCTAGCATTGAACACATTGTTGTTTTATGTAAGTGTTCTATAATACATTCTGTTTAGTAGCATTTACTGTTTATCATGAACTGCACACTGCTAATAGACTGTATGACTTCCTTCATGTTATTATAAAAAATCAAAAAGATCAGATGGGAACCAGGTGGCTGACTAAAATATAATATATTGCAGATTATCAGTCCTTAGATGTGGTGGGTGCATTAGTTTTTTCACGCTAGTGGCATTTTCAGCAAGGACAGAAAATACCTTTTAATCCTGAAAATGCAGTGTCCTTGTCACTACTGTGAGCTGAACAGAAAGCTAAAAAAAAAATGTTATCCTTTTTCCATAAACTACTTCTCCCCCCATCCCCCATGTAATAGAGATGAACAAAAAAAACAATATCTTTGAAGTCCAGCCTGAGTGACAACCATGGCTGCCTCAATAGATACAGTGCAAGAATGAACTGGGGAAAATGAGGAGTGTTATTTGCAGACCCTACATTAGGGACTGGTAAGCAATAATATAATACCGTACATCTTTGTTTTCAAATTTAGATACTCCCTCAAAAGCTTTGTATCTTTTTAACATTTTTATCTCTGCTCTAAAAGGTATAACTGTGACAATACTTTCTTTTTGCCAGTTCTACCTGTATATTTATTTACTAGCTAACATGGTACATCACTTTTTTTAAAACGTTTTGCCTTTTAAATTTAGTCCCATGAATGAAACCCAATGGTAATGAGCAATTTAACGGACATATAGTTCAGTTTATATTAAAGCCTTTAGCCATTTAATTAGCATAACTTTATTTGTTTTCCTGTATTTTACTCAGTAAATGTTTGTAATCCTCTAGAGTCTTTGGAACATGTATTTACCTGGCTTGGATTTGAGGTAGCGGTTTACAAAGAACAAAAAGCAGAACAGATCTGTAACATCATGAAGAACTTTCAGATGAAGGACCACACTGACCGAGATTGCTTTGTTTTCTGTATCTTGACCCATGGACAATCACAAGCCATCCTTGGCACTGACAATGAAGTTGTAAATATAAATGACATAGTATCTAATTTTTCTCCCCAAAACTGTAAAACCTTAGCTGGAAAACCAAAGTTATTTTTCATACAAGCGTGCCAAGGCAAAAATTCACAAGGTGCACATTTAATTGAAGAAGATGCTGTTTCAGCCACTAAAACCATCCCAAATGATGCAGATGTCTTGATTGGAATGTCAACTGTTGATGGCTACTATTCATACCGTCATGTTGAAAATGGGACATGGTACATCCAAGCCTTGTGTTCAAACCTAACCAAAATGGTTCCAAAGTAAGTGTCTATAGTCTAAATAGCAATGAACATGAACATATCAGTGCTGACCATATAATCATCTTTATGTTGCATTCTTCAACCTCGGGAAAAAACTGATTTTTTTCTACCACAGACATAAAAACTTCTAGATTTAAAACATTTATCATTTAATTCATCTGAATCGTCCTATCATTTAATTTGCTGTATTCACTAATCAGTGTTGGTGAATGCAGCAAAAAAAAAAAAACGTTGCTGCATTTACTAACACTGGCTTAACCTACCCTCTGGAAATTGTTCCAGGCAACAAATCACAGGGCAGATTTATTTGGTATCTGCTCACTTGGATCCATTTAAAAACATTCTTAAGCCCTGATGAAGGGGAGTTGTGTTTGGTCCTGGGAATGTGTTGTCTTTTCTCAGCTATACATCATATTTATCATTAAATTACCTTCCCAGACAATACAGCCAAAAGTGGGAGGGTTTCATCAGCACAATTAGTTTTGCCATTTCAGAAAGCAGTGGGCAGAGTGAGGTTTAACCAGCTGCTGATTGACAAGCTACAGAATTGTGAATCAGCAGAGGCAATGCTGATAGCCAAGCCCCCTGCAGCATCTTCTGATCCCACCGTAGTGCAAACAGCCACTGACTACTTGAGGGACAACGCTGCCCTAAATTCAGTAGCATTGCAGCAGCATTGCCTCCCCCCCACCCCCCATCACAGGAAGCTGCATTAGGTGAACTTCACTAACAGGATCTACAGATATTTGTTAGATATTGCAGGTGGACTTAAGGAAAACCGTAACTGCTGATGCACCTACAATTAAAGGCTAAGTTCACCTTTAGGCTATTTTCACACTGATCCATAGCAAATGCATTTTTGCCACTTTTTTACCATATACAGTATCTGATGTGTTTTTACCACATCTGAAGTGCATTTTTTTACATGACATGTGACTCAACCAATAATTCAACGCGGTTGTGTATTTCTGCATTTTCCATTGATTTCAGTGGAGAGGTGCGTTTTATGTGTGTTTTTTATTTACCGCACCAAACCTGCACCTAAATTGCAGCAAGCAGAATTTTAAAAAACCGCACCGGACCTGCAATGGATCAGTGTGAGGAGTTCCATAGGAATACATGGTCACATGTTTTTCTTCCACTTTTTTTTAAACACAAAAGCAGAAGAAAAACAGATCAGTGTGAAAGCAGCCTTAGTAACATGTTACATGTTACACCTGTATTCAGTGTGTAACGTGTAGCATGTTACTAAAACAGCAGTCCCAAATGCGCCCAATCGCCCCTCGGATCCTCTCTGCTCTGTCACAATTTAAAAATAGCATGGCTGTGCTAGGCTCCATCTACACAGCCGCATCATTCATTCACACAGCTCTGTAAATGAATGAACTACAAGTCTGGTCTTCCTCCACAGCAGCAGCTCGTAGTTCTCAATAAACTGAGGTGACACTGGTAAGCGCTCTCTTAGTTCATTCATTCTTCCTGCTATTCCTGCTATTCAGCAACTGTCTGCCTGTACTGAGAGACTGCTAGAGCCTGATATTGTACCTGCATTCTGATGATCACAAGTGTAATGCTCTGCAGGCTACTAAGAAAAAGAATAATTAATGCATATTTCTTTACCTACAAAAGTGCACTTATTCTTTAAGTGCTGCACATATTTATTTTCACTGATGGGAGACCATAGTACTATGTTAAGGACTCGCATTACAGACCTTCCAGCAGTTTTAAGATGCTAGGTAGGTAGTTCTGACCACAGCCACAAACTTTGACATTGTCAAGTCTAAAGGAATACTGAACCAAGAGCCTCAGTTCACACTCTGGCACTGGGTGGCAAGCAATAGTAGAGTGGCAAAACGAATGATATCTGCAGTATTCTGTATTAAAGGAAAAGTTTGCCATTCAGTCCTCTGTGAATAAGAAACTACGAGTTCTGACAGCCTTAGCAGCTATCAGCTTGTAGTCCCCAATAAAGTACCATGACGCTGTGGAGCGCCGAGGTAGTTCATTCATTCTTCCTGTCGGTATATCTGCTTGCTCGTACATCCCGTATGGGCAAGCAGATATAATGACAGGACTGCAGGAGACCTGCATGGCACCAGCAATCTGCTGATTGCTGCTGCAATGCTTTCCAGTCTCCTGCAGACAAAAATGTTAGTTTTTTACCTGCAAAAAGATGTGCATTTATTATTTTATACTAATAGGTGAACGTATCCTTTAACCTCTTTCCATCCGGCCCATGTCGATAAACGTCTGGGATGGGAGCACTGCCGATGTGGGTGGACGTTTCTAAATGTCCCCCGCATTCATTGCCTCTGCGCACTCCATGGGACCTCACACAGATCGCTGTACAGGACCTCAGTGATCACATGAATAGTAGTAAACAAGATATCACTTCCTGACATCATTGCTTACTACTAGTGAAATCTGTGAATGATCACAGAGGTCACATGGCACAAGGCTATTCACAACAGCCTTGTACCATGTGACAAGCTGTGACCAATCACAGCTCGCACAGTATTTCTTAATGGCTGCAGGAATGCAGCTAGAGAGGAGAAAGTATTGCTTTTACAGCCTTTAAAAGCAATCAGTGTAAAAAAAGAAAAAAAAAAATCTTCATCACCCCCCACAAGCACGTACAGTGTCACTATGGTGATGAATACATTTTGGCCAGATTTATGAATAAAGATTATTTGATTGCAAAATTTTATAAGAAAAACACTTTTTTTTTCAAAATTTTTGACTTTTTTCATTTATATAGCAAAACAATAAAAATCCCGGTGGTGAATAAATACCAGCAAAATAAACTTTAATCTGTCTCAAAAAAAATGCAACAGTGTTGCATGACTGCTGCTCAATTGTCATTCAAAGTGTGATAGCACTGAAAGCTGAAAATTGGCCTGGACTGGAAGGGGGTGAAAGTGTCCAGACAAGGTTAACCACCTTCTGCCCACCCTATAGTACAAAGACAGGCGCAAGGTGGTTCTCTCATTCTGACAGGACGTCATATGACGCCCTACCATTCTCACTGCGCATGCGCGGCTCAGGGAGTGTGCAGCGTGGCGATCGCCAGTGCGCTGTGTCCCTCGGAAACAGCAGATCATGGAAAGAGCCGAAGATGTCGGCTCAGTCATGTGATCAGCTGTGTCCAATCACAGCTGATCCCATATAAAAACGGAAATGCCGGTTATCGGCATTTCTCTCCTCTCGAGCTGTCACGCTGACAGCTCGAGAGGAAAGGAGAGCCGGTAATCGGCTTTCCGTGGAGGGGGGACATGTACACTGATCATCAGGGCACTGATGATCAGTGTGGCCCCAGAAGTGCCACCTGTCAGTGCCCATCAGTGCCACGTGCCAGTGCCCATCAGTGCCACATCAATGCCACATATCAGTGCATACCAGTGCACATCAATGCCACATATCAGTGCCCATCTGAGTTGCCTTTCAATGTCACCCATCAGTGCCAGTCAGTGCCACCTATCAATGCCAATCAGTGCCACCTATCAGTGCCAGTCAGTGCCGCCAAACAGTGCCAGTCAGTGCCGCCTAACAGTGCCATGTATCAGTGCCATGTATCAGTGCCATGTATCAGTGTCATGCATCAGTGTCATGCATCAGTGCTGCCTTTCAGTGCCCATCAGTGATGCCTGTTAATGTCCATCAGTGCAACCTACCAGTGCCTCCTCATCAGTGCCCATCAGTGCCACCTATCAGTGTCCATCAGTGCAGCCTATCAGTGCCCATCACTGTACCCTCATTAGCGCACATCAGTGAAGGAGAAAAAATCACTTATTTACAAAACTGTATAACAAAAAAAACTAAGAAAAAACGTTTTTGTTTTTTCAAAATTTTCAGTGGTTTTTTGGTTTGTTTAAGAAAAAAATAAAAATCCCAGAGGTGATTAAACACCACCAAAAGAAAGCTCTATCTGTCTCAAAAAAATGATAAAAAATTTCATATGGGTACAGTGTTGCATGACCGCGCAATTGTCATTCAAAGTGTGGACAGCGCTGAAAGCTGGAACTTGGCCTGGGCAGGAAGGGGGTATAAGTGCCCTGTAGGCTAGTGGTTAATACTGCAGCTTCCTATTGTTTTCTTTGGCCCCATTAGTGAACAGAACACTGCCTGTAAACACACACTACATTGAAGGCTCTCCATGTCACACAGTGTACATACTGAAGGCTATATCATATAGTCAGATCTTACAGTAGGGTGTGTGATTTCTAGATTGTGTTGGGAATAAACAGATGTAACACAATAATGCCTTACACATGCAGTTGTGCAGGTATAATGTAGACTCCTTTTCCATCCCCTAAACTTGATATCCAAGTTAGCCCGTTACCAAATATATTGTAACTGTTTCAATTTTTATAGATAGCACCAGGGTCATAAATTAGGTTCCATTCCCACTAGTGTAATGTGACAACTAGCACAAAAGTGCAACATTTTTTGTGCTTACACAAAATGCACAAAACCTGCTTGTCATGCTTGCTGTGCCATTCATTGTTAATGGTATCCCAAAAGCTGAAAGCAAGAAGTGTGTTCTTGCGCACACACAAGAACATGTGAAATCAGAAACGCAAACAAATAAACCTTAAAAAGGTTCTTTGCCCTATTTGTTGTGCATAGGGCAGCTTGCAGAAATTAATATGTAAAAACCCGATGTGGCCCAAACACTAGTGCAAATTGAGCCCTTAGGGTTTGATGAAAGTCTATATCAATAGAGATTAATTAAAAAAAACAGTTTTGTTTACAGGGTTCATATTTGTAATTTTTTTTCTACTTTTTTATTAAGGAAAAACACCAATCCCACAAAAATATATTATATGGGTTCTAGTCTTGGTATTTAATGGTATCAGGAAATAAACTGCTGAGATCCACTAACCCCATCACTGCTACACTGCAGTGTTTACAGAAAACTGATTGAATCTGAGAGACAAAAGAACCACATTTCCTGCCCAGGCCAAATTTAAACAAACCACAAACTATGGGATATATCTGAAAATGGGTCAGTCCTGATGTACTGACAGCCTCTCTCGTTTCTTGAGGCCCGAAAATGTCAGGACAGTACAAATATCCCCCAAATGACCCCTTTTTAGAAAGTAGACAGTCAAGGTATCTAGCATGACAAGGTTTTTTGAAGTTGTCATTTTTTGTCATTTTTTTTGGAAAATTAAGAAATAAAAAAAAATACATTGTTCACGTGGTGTTTTTTTTTTTAAATACTGTCACAAGTGCAGTACAGCATTATCATATAACTGTAGCTGCAGTGATCAGGGACACTGATTGGTGACAGAATGAAAAAAAAATGTAAAAAAATTTTTTTTTTTTTAGCAAACTGTGATCAGAGCAATATGATGTTACCATAGTAACAATGTACTACTCTGGGGAAGTGATCAGGATTTTTTTTTTTTACACATTATGATTGCTTATAGCAGTGAATTCCATTGCTATAAGCAAGCAAATTCATTCAGTAAGTATTGTTGTGATTAGCTGTGATTGGCCACAGCTAATCACATGGTACAGATGGGCTGTGATTGGCCCTCTCTGTACTATGTGATCACTGTGACCAATCACAGCTAGCCACACAATTGTACACAATGAATGGCATGAAAGGAGGCCATTCATTATTTACAATAGTTATGTGATCTGCTGTGACTGGTCACAGTGATCGCATGGTACTGGCAGCGGGCCGGTACAGTGGTCTGTCATTGGCTGTGTCTGGTGGACACAACAGATCACTCCCACAGCATGTCACATCCACTCGGAAAGACGAAAGTTAAAAATGAGCTAGTTATATAGAAACAGAAATAGTTTCTTTCCTTGTACCTGTCTGACATACTTACCCAGCTAGAATGGCTGATGTAAGATCTGCATTAGTATATGTAGGGGTTAGTAATTAGTTAATTCTTTATTATGTCACAATATTGATATTTTGTATCCTAAGAATAAGAGAATAATCTCTCAACCCTTTTTTTTACAGAGGTGAAGATATTTTGTCCATTCTTACAAACGTCAACAGGGATGTAAGTGAGAAGGAGTATTCAAAGAATAAAACAGTTTGGAAGCAAATGCCTCAACCAGCTTACACTCTTCGCATGAAGCTAGTATTCCCTATACCAACCTCTGACTTCAAGAGTATCTGTAGTGTTGGAAAATAATGATATGCTGCAAAGTAGGTTCGTGGGGAAAGTTATTTCCCTTGTTTCTTTGTGCTTGTGATTATTCTAGAGTATTTAGGAAGGGTGTCAAACTCCAATTCCCATACTAATTAAGTGCCACCTTACCATATTAGTTGAGCCACACTCCCATACTATTAAAGGGTCAGTGCAGTTTTTGTCAAATGCTGAAAAGTTAAACCACCTGAAAGTTTTTATCTTTTAGGAATTCTTGTGAGATCTCTTTTGAGACCTCTTCACAGGTCTGCACATTGAGCACCTATTAATTTATAAGAGGTTCCAATGCTTCATACTGGATTTTTTATTTATTTATTATTATGGATAATGCTTGAACATGCAAAGTTAGGAACATCCAAAACTCTCAAATGGGTATGTACAAAGTAAGGAACTATGGCAGGGAGATCTCTCTGTTGGAATATCCAAGAAAAATAAGAAGCTGTTGGTTGACTATGCAAATCAGACCTTGCCTGTACCTTAAATAATATTTTGGGAGGTCCAATCTTTGAAAGCGGCCCCTTTTTATATTAAGTGCATGTATATTCAGCAGTGTGAAGATGTACTCCTTAAAGGTAATTATTACCTATCAAAGTTATAGCAGTACCTCCTGCCACTGTTTTTTTTTTCCTTTTTACCAGAAGGCTGATGCAGTCTTTGTTCATTTATGTCCAGGTTCACCATGTACTTCCAGGAATAAGGTGTTGGCCAATAGATAACACAATTTTATAAATCCCTGTGCCTAAACAGTAGCTGGATGGAATTTGCTGTGTACCCTTTTCACACACAGATCAGCCCACTGCTGCTGCTGCCCTTACCGCCTAAACTGCAACAAAGTTGCAATATACAGTACAGTCTGAATGTTCATTGAGGTAGACCCAGGAAACGTTTTTCTCCTGTCTACGGCTGACTGAATATGTTAGTCTCTTAGATACCCCCAATTTTATGTGTGAATGCAAGGGGTGCCACTGCCGAATGCAATTAAGGGCTCATTCACAAGTGAGCACCGCTGCTTCACTGAAAAGCCAAACGAGTGTGTTTGACAGGTAGTGAGGAAACAATATTTTGCCTCCTCACCACTTTATTTTAAACCCACGATTGCTGTGCAATGCACACGATTGTGACAAGGTAGCACAGCAATTAGAGGTTTCAATCAGGTGTGAGGAGGCGACACTGTACCCAGTGATCTTTTACTTCTCCCATGTTGTTCAGGTAGATCTCCACCTCTTTAAGGTTGCCTACCCCTGAGATAAACCCCTTTTGTACATGGCAACTGTAACAGAGGATGCCAAAAGATGGTGAGTGGTAAACAGTATGGTGGCACTTGAGTCTAGAGTTGGCTTTAACATAATACTTCCAAAATACTCTATTCATCATTGAAAGATCCAAGTACTGTGTCTATTTTGTCTACCTTTGCTCTTGATATTTGTATCCCCCCCTTCCAATCTGTTATACCAAAAGACAAACCTCCAATGCAGTACAAACCCACTTTACGCAACCCAGCAAACCACTGGGCCAGGCAATGTTTAAAAGAATGTTCACTTTGTAAGGAATTTAACATAATTAACATTATGAATATGGTGACATGTTACTTTCAAAAAATAGCCAATCACATGCAGGGAAAAAAAAAAAAATAAATATATATATATATATATATATATCAGATGATGAAAGTCAGCAGAGCTTCACTTCATTCACTAAGCTAAAGGTAAATTCCCTTGCAAAGTGAACAGCCTATTTGTCATTAGTAAATCAATGCTATGTGTCATTAAATCAAATGTGCAAGACTTAAGTGTTGAAAAATAATGGGAAGAAGACGTTTGCACATTTTGAAAACCTGAGCATTTCAAAATTCAAGAGCTGATTTGCCCATGACACATTAATGAATATTATGAAATAAATGTTATCTATGTAAGAACTGTGCATTTGCCAACAGTAGCTTGAGTGTAAAAGCTAGGCTTGGATGGAATGGTGCTCACTGTGGCCATAGACGTTAGCCTTTAGTTCTGGAGAATGCATCGGGGTTGATTTACTAAAGGCAAATAGACTGTGCATTTTGCAAGTGCAGTTGCTCCAGAGCTTAGTAAATGAGGGTAAATTCTGCTTTCATCATCCAATCACGTGCAAGCAAAATTTTTGTTTGTTTTTTTTCCTTGCATGTGGTTGGATATTCTTTGTAAAGTGAAGCTTACCTCATTTAGTAAGCTCTGGAGCAACTGCGCTTGCAAAGAGCACAGAACCTTTGCCTTTAGTAAATCAACTCCTATTGTTTCATATGCTTGTGGGCAGGCCCTGTAATATCAAGAGGAGTTGCATACACAGAAGCATCTATACAGGAATAAAAAGATATGTAAAAAAGGAAGAAAACTGCAAAACTCTGAGTGGTCGTGAATATTTATTTTTGTTTTATATGACATTTTAATCATGGTTTGACCATCCTTGAGAACAAAGACATATGCAGCACAGCAGCCTAGTGGTTAGCATTCCTGTCTTGCATGTTCTCCCTGTGCTTTTTTTGGTTTTCCTCCGGGTGCTCTGATTGCCTCCCACACTCCAAAGACATGCTGGTAGGTTAATTGGCTCCTGTCTAAATTGGCCCTAGATAGTAAGCTATTTAAGGGTAGGGATTGATGTGAATGTACAGTATGCAAAGTGCTGTGTAAATGCGCTATATACGTTTGGTTCCAGATGCTGCATGACTTTCATGGTCCAATTTAAAATGGTGCTATCACTGAATTTGCTTGTCATGTGTTTTTTTTAAATGGTGAATGAGTGGTCTTACCAACTGCTGCATTGTGATCCTGCTACAGAGCACTCAGTAATGTTCATAATAAATCAATAAAAACACAATCCCTCTCCCATCAACTTCTCCTCCCACTGAATGTGTTGGATGCTTTTGATGACATTTGTACTTAATTCTTGGACAGATGCATTTATAATGTGATTCTGAATTTTTGCAAATGTAATATCTGTAAAAATGGTTTCATCCTGCTGGTTCATGCCTGCACAAATCAAGTTGATCATAATTTAAAGTGAACATGACTAAGTTAACAACATTGCTGGAATTCAGGATTTTGTGTTGTCAGATGGCACCTGTGAGAATCCTAAACCTCATACACCTGATAAGAATATCGGATGGGTGATCATCCAATTTTTTTTTTTTATGCATGCTAGTCTCATATCGCAATCGATTAGGTTTCTAAAGCTATGGAAATTTTCGTTAGACAGAATACAACTTAGGAAGTGATGTATTGTAATGTATTCTTTTGTTTCTGAGCATGAGTGGTCTTGGTAATTTTTTTTTCATACAAATACTATACTAATTACATGAAAATAGTTCAGTCTGTTATCTTACAAGACATTTTTTTATGCTCTTTCCTTCGGATATTTTTGCAAGAACTGGATCGATCGGAAGCTGTTTACTAATTATCAGATTATTGGACAATTGCTGTAAAATAAATTTGTTTGTCTGATTTTCTCATTGTGTGTACTAGGCATTAAAGTGTTACTAAACCCAGGACCCTGCATTCACGATATCCGGTCTCCCACAGTACACAGAACATGGAAATGCAATTATTTCAGTAATTATAAACTGCTAAATACCTTTTCTCATCAGCAGTTAGAGCAGTCTTGTGACTTCAGCAGAGCACTGGTTAAAGCTTGTAGGAGGAGTTCTCTTTCTACTCTAGGAGGATGTGAAAGTCCTGACCCTCTGTCTGGACAGTGCTGATTGGACCTGTGCTGATCACATGCACTCTCCCAAGAAAAGAAAAAAACCTCTCTAACAATACACACCAAACTGAGCATGTGCATGTGACTACGAATTCAGTCTGTATCAGGTGGTCATTTCAACAAGAGGAGGGGCAGAGAAGTCAGGATCATAGGGCCTTTTTACACAATGCAGAGGATTAACCCCTTAGGTTCCACAGTGAGTATAACAAGCATGCTTTACTGCATATACAGACTGATGTTACTGTTGTGGGTTTAGTAACACTTTAAGCTGGTCATACACTATACAATCTTATTGTACAATCTCTGTACAATTTACTTTAGGGCTCCCTCACACATAGTGCAGTGGCTGGCATTTTTCCACAGTGAATAGTCTGCAGTCACAATTGTTTTCCATGTGCCCTGTTCACACTACAGTGCAGCCCGACAGACATGTAGCATTTTACTGCAATGCACAGATGGGTACAGCATGTCACTGCACAGTGGTGCAAAGTACCATACCGCACTGCTGTGTACACATGAATGAACTGTCATTTTTCGCACTTTTGTACAGTAGCGCAAAGCACCGCACTGCTGTGTACACATGAATGATCTGCCACTTTTCAAACTTCAAAAAAAGTATAAAAAAGGGAAATGCTGTGATGCGCTAAAACGCATATCACTCCACCCTTTTACTGTGACTCACTGCAGCCAAAAATGGCAGAGAGTGTGAATGAGCCCTTAGATTTACAAACTATATTGTATGAGGACAGACTTAAACCATGTATTCAGTTAGTTTCAAACCAAGCAGGTTCTTCCACTACATAGTTGATTATAATTGCTACCAAAAATGGTCAGTCTTAAATGAGCTT